ATATATTGTTAATGGGAAGCAAATATGCCAAAAATGGCTACAACACCAAGCGCAGTTGTTCTTCCGTTCTCAGATCTGACCGCCCCCTTAAAAATAGTAAAATGTTCTATTTATACTAGGCTGGAAAAACTAGACAAAAATACCCATGTGGGGTCAGTGCGGGTTGCACAAAATGGACCCCGGCTGCGCTAGCTCTTGGGCTTCAGTTGTTTGATGACTTGAACTGGGAGATGCGGACCGCGTGGGAGTGTACCGCGGCCGCAAAGGAAATTGGCGCGGTCCGCACAAATGTGACCGCGGACCGCGTGAGGACAAATGCCCTTTGTTGAACCCTATGAACGTGGACCGCACAAAGCAGGAGTGTGGCTGCTAAGCTTCTCCGTAGGCTGCGTGAATCCTACCACGGCCGCGTGACCTTAAGATTGAAAATGTCCAGTCTCTGAACCTCCTAGTGCGGCCGCGGTCATTGTTGCGCGGTCTGCACTAGGCCCATTTTTCTTCACTTATCTTGGTCTTTGATACTTGAGCATGTTTCACATCCTTTTAAGCGGATCTTTGACAATTTATCACTTTGTCAATCAACCCTACAATCAAGCACAACTTGTGAGCATTTTGGGACTGTTTTTGTATCAATTTATACTCAAAGCATAGGCAAGTAGGGACATAAACACTTTAAAATCCTAACTTATTAATAGTTGAGGAGGATGATGAAGTTGATGAGGATGCTGAGGATGCTGCTGTCCTACCACCACCGAGAGCTGATGAGGCGGGCCCATTACAGGCCCACCGAAGTACCTGCATGGCAGCCCTGGAATAAGAAATGGCTGGTCTCTACACTTCTGTCGATGAACTGGGTACCAGAGTTGACACTCTGACCACTCAACAGGCCAAGTCGGNATGAGGCGGGCCCATTACAGGCCCGCCGAAGTACCCACATGATAGCCTTGGAACAAGAAATGGATGGTCTCCACACTTCTGTCGATGACCTGGGCACTAGAGACACTCTAACCACTCAACAGGCCAAGTCAGAGAAGAAGATTATGGGATGGCTTCGAGCATTAGGAAGAGCATTTCACCTCGATCCTGGCACCGTCTCTGATCAGGATTGAGCTTCAGGGAAGTCCCCTTACCTTACTATGCTTTATATTTGTTGACATGGGGACATGCCAAAATTTTAAGTGTGGGGTGGGGGTGGCTGTGGTTGTAAAAATATTGTATAACTTTGTATTGTTGTTTTCTTTTTCATTGTTTGGTATTGTAGGGTCATGTTAGTTAACTTCGACTTGGCCCAAAGACGGACACCTTTCGACAGGTCTCTTGAGGGACATTAGTCGAACAAAAAAAGGGGAATATAAGGACTCTTCCTGATGACAGATCATTTAGACAATTTCTTGAGGGAAGTAAGTCTAGAGAAAATACCAAAGAGATTTTTTTATTTTATTTTAGGTAGTTTTTGTTTATTTTGTTTTTAGTTTTTAGTTAGTATTGATGGGATACAAGCTGAAATAGAAAGAGAAACCTTAGGTCTTAAGATACCTGAACACAGTCGACACTAGAGTGTAACGCTTAGTCTCAGGGGTTGACTCTTGCTAAAGTGCCTTAAATTTGTATTTTTGTAACTGACTTGAACACTCAAAAGAGAGTGTCTTGATAAACCAATCTGGAGTGAGTCATGTGCCATGTGTGTGTGAGTTGTACTGTATTCTATGCTTTATATTTTATGCCTAGAACTTGTATCGTGTGTCTGCAAAGCGAAATAGTAGCTTCATTCAATCTTACAAGTGATATAGGCATTTCTTTGTTAAGCCAGATATATAAAGTAAACCCACCTAAATGTAATACATCGTAGTTAACCCCGTTGAGCCTATAAGCCTATTTCTTTGGCAACCACATTGCGAACCTTACCCAATTGTTTGAATGGACTATATGTTTGAACCCATGTATCTCCCATGAGCACTTGAACGATATTGAATTATGCAAAAGTTAAAGTGTGGGGTGGTGGTTTGGTTTTTCAGTGGAACCAATGAAATAGAGGAAATGTGTAGTTTTTTCTGGAAAAGTAAAAGAAGAAGCACCACTTAAAAGAAAAAAAAAAGAGAATGAATAAATGTAGTAGTTGATAAAGTGATGGCTTGATGCAAATGCACCTAAAGGAAAGGGATGTTATAAATAAAAATGTGGTGGAACTTCTGGTTGACATAAGTGTGATCTTGAAAGTTAATGTGATTGTATTAAAAGTGCTTAGGGAGGTTAGTCACTATACCCAAATATATCCTACCCATACCTTAGCCTACATTACAACCAAGTAAAGTCCTAATTGATCTTAGACTGAATAGGATCGATTATTCGAGTAGTACACTACGGGCAAGCCTATGGTGCATCTCTGTGGCATGTGAATGTTCTTTTCGAGAGTGAGTGAATTTTGTCTATCTGAGTTCCTAATTGGTCTTAATATTACTATTTGTGGAACTACTCTCTTGAGTGATGTGAGGGAATATGATTCACGAAGGAAAGGTAAGTCTTGACCTCTGCATAGAGTAGTTTGAGTAAGTACGTATATTGCACGGCACGTGAGATTCGACTTTTGAGGCAAAGGTTGTTCACTACTAGGTGCAACTTTGGTGAATTGTTCTTGGTGTGATTCGTTAAGGGAAAAGCTTAGGGAAGTAACTTTGATAGAGTGTGGTGGATTGCTCGAGGACTAGCAATGATTTAAGTGTGGGGTGTTGATATTAGGCTATATAGACGATATTTACATCCTAAATGTACCATGCTTTATTGTTGTTTTGAATGATAAATGATAACAAAATGCTTTAATTGGTGTTCTTTTGCTTCGCAGGAACTAATCCGAGTTAGGAAGAGATAATGGAGTGTTTTGAAGTCAAGAAGGTGGATAAAAGGCCAATCGTGAAGAACCTGAGCAAAAATAAGCAAGAAAGAGGCAAAGAGGACTGAGCTGGAAGCCACCGCGACCGCGGTCGACCGCGGCTGGACCGTGGTGGCTAAGGGAGCGAGGCAGAATGTTTGTCTTCCACAGCAGTCGCGCCGCGTTCAGCCGCGGTTGCGGTGAACTGTATAGCTGCCAGAACTTTTGGGACCAAAGAGTAAATAGGGGAAAACTTATTCCAAACCCTTATAAACTCAAGAAGTTCGCCCAAGAAAGTTTTAAGCTTGTTTTTAGACTACTTGGGAGGCAAGAACAGGTGTGAGAAGAGCAACCAAACATTAGAGTTTTTCTATCTTCTCTTTATTATTGCAATTACACATTATGAACAATTTAGTAGTTTTATCTTGTTTTGTTATAAGTAGCTAATTCCTTAGTCTAGGATTTTGATGGAACCTATTGAAGGATGAACTTCTTGTTATGTTAATATAGGTTGTCCAGTTTACTCTCTATTTGTTCAACTACGTTCTTGTTGTAGTTAATTGATAGGATCCTCAATTAGTTGTGCATATTTAGTGTGCATAACTCGGGAGAGAGTCATTATTAGGTAATTGTTGAACAACACCACTCCCAAAGTATATGAGGGATCAATAACCGAGGGTTTAAAGGCGGGATTAAGGATAACGAAGTTTTGGGTGCAATCTAAGTGAGTTGTAATAAACAAAGCCAACTAGCGTAACTCGGAAGAGTGCATCTAGTAAATTGTCGTGATTACTCAGGAGAGATTTACGGTAATAAGAGTGCATCATGATTGATAGAGACGAATAGGCGAATTTATGTGAAACATAACCGGAAGAGATTTCATCAATAGGGGAAATCATAACCTTAGATCTTTCTCTTAATTGTTTACAACTTAATCATAGTTAGTCTTTATTTGCTTAATCACAGTCAGCCTTAGTTAGTAGAAACACACTCAATTGTTATTCAAAGCGTTTGGGAAGTTGATTACGTAGAATTTCGTAAGTCTAACGATAGTAATTGATAGGTTAATTCCTTGTGGGTTCGACTCTAGGCGAAATACTCAGATTATATTTGCAACGTCCGCGTGTCCTTTTTATAAGGCATAGTTGGGCGTGATCAATGTTGCATTTATTTTCGTTTTCCTTTTAAATTTATCAGGTGGTATGTTATTGTGGTTAATTTGTTGATGTTATATAGAATATAAAATTAGTTGGTGTTCGCTTGAATTTTAGAGTTTTCACTTGAAATCATGGTAAACCGTTTCTAATAATGGAGCTGGTGGTGGCAAAATGGTTAAAATAAAATAGTTAACCACCCATATTATCTACTAAAAAATGGGTTGGATAATGAACTTTTTAAAAATTGGTCAACTGTGGATAAGAACCATATTATCCATTTTGGGAGACTAGGAATTCTCCCAAAAATGATTATATGCAAGAAGTCATGAATAATATGGTTATCCATATTATCTGTCGGTTAATCCGTTTTTTATACGTATTAAATATAGGTCGGGTAGGATAATTTATCCATTTTTTTATTATCGGGTTTCGACCCGAACCATATCAGATCCGACCCGCTCGTTTGCCACTCCTAAATGGAGCCAAGATTGAACCAAGAGTTGGGTCGTTTCATATAAAGATAGCCTTGAATTCAACTCTTAGGAAAATATAATAGATTCTAGCTGATTCGATCTTGTAACGAACCCAAAATGAACTCAATATGGAGGAGAAATGAATTTTGCTGTTACTCTAATTGAATAAAATGTAAGGCATTCTCAAGAAGATCTGCGTAGCATACTTTCAGCAGTACTAATGAGTGGGAAAAATCATATATATGCCTTTATCCTGCTACAATGGATTTTTTGAGTTGCATCTCATAAGCATCAATCTATGTTAGTAACAGGGAAGTTATGCACAAATGTAATGTGAAGGAGGTCATCTGACTTTCTGATTAGTTATGCAGGAATGTAGGATGCCCGTCTTTCAATAGTAAATCCTCTAATGTGGTTTAACATTCCACCGCCTATATATGTTTGTCAGCAGTGTAAATGCATTACACATATTATGTGTCTACGCGTCTAATGAGTCAATGCCTAATTGCCACTCAACCTGTTCAGATCTGCGATGGAACTTCATGATCTTCTGGCACGATGTTTGGTGATGATCATTGCAGTGGTACAGATTGCTAGGATCAGCTCATGTCTCGGTACTGAAGTATTAAATGAAGTAAGTGACCTAGCTGTTGAACAAGCTCAAGATGTGCAGTTATTTCTCAATGCATGTAATTTGGGTGATAGTAATATACTAATATACAGAAAACTGTAAATGGTGTTGCCAACAAAACTTTTAGACTCAATTGAATCTTGCAACCATTAATTCTTAGAATTTGGGTGATAGTAACTTTTCCCCGATCTTCTTCAGGTCCATGCACCTTATCTTGATAAATATGTTGCAAAATCCTACTTTAGCAAACATGACAATTTGGTTGACTCAAAGTTTGAAGATTTCATTGCACATGACATTCTGTCCAGCGAATGTGTATCGCTGCAAGACAATGTCAAATTTGCACCAAAGCTGTCTGCTTTACGTCGAAAGCTGATTGGTGAAGGTTCCCACCGGCGTCTGTCATCATCTCTCAGATTGAAGATGTCAGCGGAGTACCTTTCTAGCCCTCCAAAATCTTGTGAAGTGATAATTGTTGAAAGACTGCCCTCTGGAGTCTTTGCAGATCCTTTTGAGCTACAACACATTGTGCAGCCTGGTGGTAAATCACTATCAGATTATGTAGGTTTCTACCTCTGCAATTATTGATTTTGAGGCTTGTCCGTGTCCATATTTTGTTGCAGTTCTTAGGGAAGCTGCTGTATTTGGAGATACAAATTTAGAGTTACCCTCATTTCGGTCAAACAGGTCACTTGTTGAGGTTCATCTGAAAATGGGTTCCAATTTGATATCAGAACAAAAGGATGAACAGGAAATACACATGGAACTCCCTCTACATGCACGTTATCAGGTACATCACATAAAAGATTCTCAAAATTATGTAGGAATCTCCAAAGTACGTCTCAGGCATCAAAGCTAGTCATTTCACTCCCCTGAAGTTATTTGATACTTTTACAATAAAAGGAGTAACTTACCATAATTTTGGCCACTTTTTGTTTGGAGAGGTACATGTACATGTACATTTATTTAGAACCTTCTCAACTATTAACTGTAACATCCCAGCCTTTTCTTGGCAGCCACTAGGACGCGGTTTCTCAAAAGTCGAATTTGCTTCACCTGGCTTGTTTCTACGCTGCAACGCTAAAGGAAATCAACATGCCACAAGCTGTTTGTTTTCGCTAGACAAACAGAGTGCTGAATCAAATGATAGTCATCCTGTGTGGGAAGTACCATGTGGAAGTAGAGAACATATGGAAGTTGTATCTGCTTTTACTTTCATCTCAGCTGTTGTATCATTTCTTCTCATCATTGTTGCCTCAATTTGTATTCTGGCGACACAGTGTGTAATGCCGTGAATAATTAATAAATTTGGCAAGCAATTCTCCCCTTTCTGGACTAATCATTTGCAAGAGAAATTCACTTGATGTTAGGTAAACTTATAACTCTTCCTCAGTTATAGCTGGCTTACCTGTGTTTTAAAATGTTTTGTTGCTTTTGTCATTACTAATTTCTTTGATGAACTCCTTGCAAGGATTAGTGCATAGTTATTTCTCAGGCGGTTTCTTTTTTCCCTCTTTAATTTCTCGCTGTATAAGCTCTCTGGTTATAGAAGTATGTAGAAATTATAGCCTTGAATGCTGCTAACCGGCAGATCCTTTTAACCCTTGTATACTAGTCTGTTAGCATCATCCTTGCAAGGAGTTGACGTAAAAGGAATATTTTCACGTTCATTTATCTTTATGTGATTATATTTCATTCATCTTTTCTTTGCAAGATTGTTGGCTTTGAAGAGATAACTTAATTTATTGGTTGCGACTTGGTGGCAAATTATGTGTTTTCAAGTAGTAATTTGCTTGCGCGAGTTTATTAGATGAGAAGTAAGATTCTCAGTCTTCACACAAGACTATTTCAACTCCTCATCCTGTACAGTTACTTGGGATCACATGAGTTTAATTTGTAGATTATTTCTCCAGAGAAATAGAAAGGAGAGTGTTCTCTTGATCAGAGTAGGTGGTCCATTTATCTGTTCCGTCATCTCACAGAAAAAATATGATCTTAACTTTTTCTTAGAGTTGGAACATTTGAATCATCATACAAGTATGAGCATTGTAATCAGTGCAGTTATGACTAATGTCATTCTCTGTCTTTAGTATCTACCAGAAGTCGTACCCCGTGATGACCCAAAAGGTCATAACTTGTTTTACAAGTCGATTATGTATTTTGAGGCCTTAAAAATCTCTTTTTGTCTCACCTCGATTTGTGTGCGCAGTCCGGACATGTATCCGGAAAGACATTATGTGAAAATCTGTGAAAAATGATAAATTTTGCTTTTAAAATGAATTTAAGTTGACTCCAATCAATATTTTGGGTAAACGGACCTGGACGCGTGATTTGACGGTCTTGGAGGGTTCGTAGGAAAATATGGGACTTGGGCGTATGTCTGGATTTGAATTCTGAGGTCCCAAGCCCGAGAAATGAATTTTTGAAGAACATGTTTAACTGAGATTATAGAGTTTTCAGAAATTTAAATATGATTGAATATGATGGTAGCGGGCCTGTATTTTGGTTCCGGAGCCCGGTACAGGTCTTATATGGGAATTAAGTTGAGTCTGTAAAATTTGGTAAGAAACGGACTTAAAATGATGTGAATCAGACCATCGGTTGTTAAAAATGGAACTTAAGAGTTCATGAGATTTTTCTTTGATTTTGATGCTAAATCCATAGTTGTTGATGTTATTTTAATGATTTGATCGAACGAGCAAGTCCGTATGATATTTTTGGACTTGTGTGCATGTTTGGTTTGGAGCCCCGAGGGCCCGGGTGAGTTTTGGATAGGCCACGAAGTGGAATTTGACTTAGGAAATTGCTGGTGTGTTGCAGGTCTGCAGGCTTCGCAATTGCGAGCTCGCAAATGCGAGGTTGTATCGCAAATGCGAAGATGGCCTGGGCAGGCCTTGATCGCAAATGCGACCATTTCATCGCAAATGCGAAAGGGGCCAGAGTCGCAAATGCGACTTATTCTTCACAAATGCAAAGATAGGAGGTTTCTTAAGAGTTCGCAATTGCGAACCTGGTCGCAAATGTGACATCAGAGACCAGTTAATTGGGATTTAGATGCATTTTTCTGCATTTTTCAAACCTTTTCAAGACCTAAACACCTTTGGGCAATTTTTCACAGACAACTACTTTTCCAAATCGATTGTAAGTCATTTCTAACTCGTTTTCTTTAATCTTTAATATTTTTTCACATGATTTCAACTCAAAATCAAGGGTTTTCATGAGAGAAATTGGGTGTTTTGGGTAGAACATAAGTTTTTTCAATTTTGAGGATTTGGACCTCGATTTGAGGTCCGATTTCAAAATAAATTATATATTTGGGTTCGTGGGTGAATGGGTAATCGGGTTTTGGTTCGAACCTCGGGTTTTGACCATGTGGGCTCACGGTCGATTTTTGACTTTTTGGGGCAAATCATTGGAAAACTTATTTTCATGCATTAGAATTGATTCATTTAGCATTTATTGATATAGTTAAGTAACTTGTGGCTAGATACAAGCGAATTGGTGGTGAAAACAAGAGGTAAAGCGGTAGTTGAGGCTTGAATTGTGTTCGTAGCATTGGGGTAAGTGTTTGATCTAACTTTAGCTTGAGGGATTAGGAGTTGTGTCTTATTTGCTATGTGTTAGTTGTTGAGTACAACGTATAGGCATGGTGACGAGTATATATACGTTGGTGTCAAGCATGCCCGTGAGTCTTATACTATGACTAATGTGACACTGTTTCATATTGTTCATGCTTTATATGATGATTTCTATTGTTGAACAAGGCTTACGAAAGTATTATTGGTAATTGATCATTGTAGAGCATTGGCTCAAGTTGAGAAATGAGTTGTGAAGAAATTGTGGTAAAGAGAAAAGGTTTATATTATTGTCTCCCTTGCCGGGATGTTATTGCTTTTGATATTATCTCCATTGCCGGGATGTTACTTTTTAATGATATTGTTTCCTTTGCCGGGATATTGTTGTTGTAATGACCCGGCCGGTCGTTTTAAGAATCTAACGCCCCGATCCCCTATTAACTGCATTCCTCGTATTTGTTTCTGCTATTGTGAGTTGTCGGGAGGATTTATTTGAAGTTTCGGAGAGTTTTGGGACACTTAGCCCCTAAATGAGAGTTTAAGTTGTAGAATTTGAGCAGTAGTTGGAGCAGTGTGAAGACTACCTCAGAGTGGAATTCCAACGGTTCCGTTAACTCTATTGGGTGATTTCGGGCTTAGGGGCGTGTTCAGATTGTGTTTTGGAGGTCCGTAGCTAATTTAGGCTTGAAATGCCGAAAGTTAAATTTTTGATGTTTCCGGTTCGATAGTGAGATTTTGATATCGGGGTTGGAATGAAATTCCGGAAGTTGGAGTAGCTCCGTAGTGTTGAATGTGGCGTGCTTGCAAAATTTTAGGTCATTCGGACGAGGTTTGATAGACTTTTTGATTGAAAGCGTAAATTGAGATTTTTTGGAGTTCTTAGGAATGAATCCATGGTTAATTCGATGTTGTTTTAGGTGTTTTAAGAATTAGTATAAGTTTGGATAGTGGTATATGACTTGTTCGTACTTTTGGTTGAGGTCCTGGGGGCCTCGGAATGATTTCGGATGATTGTCGGAAAGTTAGGAATTTGGAGTTGCAGTTGAAGTTTATGGCTGCTGTCATAACCGCATATGCGGTTGAGAGGCCGCAGGTGCGACTCCCGCAGATGCGGAATCAAGCCACAGAAGCGGCCAAGAGGAAGAGGAGCTGAAACCGCAGAAGCGGAAGGTGTACCGCACCTGCGGACCGCAGATACGGATTTTGGGTCGCAGGTGCGGCGAAGGGGATTTAAGTAGAAACCGCAAAAGTGGTTCCCTTGACCGCAGAAGCGGATTTGCTGGGAAGAAAATAAGAATTTCGAGGGTTTAGTTTCAAAAGTTAGAAAATTGATTTGGAGCTCGTAAGAGGACTATTTTGGGAGGATTTTGAAGAGAAAGTCAGTGGGTAACAATTCCTAATTCCTTTCTAGTTGTATTCCTATAATCTAATCTTAGTTTTGTCATTCAATTTTGGATTTGGGATGAAAATTGGGGGGAAATTTGGAGAAAGTTCTTAGACCTAAATTTCGAGTTTCGATTGGGCATTTGACATTAGATTTGGATAATTTTGGTATGGTTAAACTCGTGAGAGTATAAGGATTCTGAAAATATAAATTTTACCTGATTCTGAGATGTGGGTCCGAGGGGCATTTTGGTCATTTTATCTAATTTTGCGTATTAGCTTGGAATATATTTGTAGAATCCGTTACTTGAAGTGTTATTTACATTATGCAATTGAATTAAATAGATTTGGGCCATTTGGAGTCGAGTACTCGTGGCAAGAACGTGGTTTCGGGTTGATTTTGAGTTGGTTCGAGGTAAATGGCTTGCCTAACCTTGTGTGGGGGAACTCCCCTTATGATTTGGTATTATTGATATTTGAAATGACTTGTATGTGAGGTGACGAGTACGTACTTGTGCTAATTGTTGAAAATCCGATTTTCATTAAGTAATTATAATTGTATTTCTTTTCCTGTTTATACTACTTGCAATTTAAGCCTGTTGTTAGCTTAGGGAAGCATGTCTAATTGAC